ATATTTACATAACTTAGGTCGTCACCAGGTGAATATCCTTTTGAAATATTTTGTTATCGCTTATATAAATTGCAGGTCACGCAATGCATTAATAGAATTCTAATAATAATAATATTAAAGAGAATATGTGGTATAGACAAATGATTGAAAATTCCAAAAAATGGATTAACCTCTTTTGATTCTACTATGATGTTGGTTTTGACTTCATATTTTTGATGTTACTCATTATCTTCAGAATTCAACAAGTGCTTACACACAAACTATCGTGACAAATTAGGCCCAATAATCTCAGCAAGTGCATATCACAACAAAGACTTAAACGATTTCTATTTCAAAAGAATATCGAAGCAACCCACCTAGGCGCCACTTTTCATTTCTGGCAACTATTCACAGCGCTCACCCATTGTGGTTGCGATTATTCATTTAACGAGTCCCTTACACGCAAACGATTATTCGACAAAAAACCATTACAATTTTGCGGAACACGAAGATGCTTATGCTTATACCAGTTACAATGCATCCTCCCTTGCACTGGCATTGTTCTTGTCTGTGTAACTGATTCATTCTAACCCGCCTAAGTTTAACTGAAACAGGAATAAAAGGCCGTATATTTTCCAGACAATTGCCTCGAGTAAAATTTCCTTCCTTGAGTCTCTGACTTGTGATCCTTTCTACAGTTATCATCAACATTTCTAAATGAACCTTTGTTACTTGTTTCAATATTATTGAATAAAACTAAATTAAACTTCTTTTTTATCTTCCGACCGTCAAAGTAGAGTTATAGGCTTATAACAGTAGTTATATCTAGATCTGTCGCATAGTATAGAATGTAAGAAACTCGTTGTGAAGTAGCCGGAGGAAATAGAGTTGTATTTTATAATATATATATATATCTGTCTCTTATACACATCTAGATGTGTATAAGAGACAGTTTTATATACGTTCGTTTGTACACAAGCACCTTGTTCGTTTATCTGTAGTTCTCTAGGTATACACTATAGGTTGGTAAACTTGGTAATATCATTTGTATTTTTTTTCAAAGTTTTGCTGTTTCTGTCTTTGTTTAGATGCAGTTGCTTAGATTCATTATAAAAATAATATTAGCAAATATTATTGATAGTATATTTTATTGATATCAATATTGATATTATTAATTTTATTAATATAAGTTAATATATATATATATATATATATATACATTATATAGCTATATAAATAATAATAATAATACATCATTGCCTTGACAAGATTTTTTGGCGATGAATTTTATCACGTTCAAAATATATAGGCCTACTGTAGCAGCAAGTTTGATGGAGGAGATACAAAATGTATCATCTCTGTCGCACCGACTTCTCGGCTCACCGAGTGTCACTCATCCGACGAGTTTTGAATACCTTGTCCAGCTGACAAATAATTAGCAATCGCTCGAAAATCGTTGTATAATTTTAACGGAAATATTGTCTTCAGAAAACGTTTAGTGCCTTCATTCAATAGTTTAAATGAAAGTAAACAGACCATAACTGTACATGCTCAAAGGAACGATTAATAAGAAATACTACCTCCTGTAAATCAGGCTACACGATCACTGTCTGTCAGAAAATACTTCTTCAGATTTTTGTAATTTTCAGATTTTTATTTCAAAAATTAATACTCATAAACGTCAAACGCCAGCTGCATATTCATTTTTGTTATTTTATCATAAAGTATGGTACTCGATGAAAACAGGTTGATGTATATATTATTTTGTCTATATAGATAGGAAGTATAATGTGATGTTGCATTGTACAAAGAGCAGATTTATCATAGAAAAATATGGAAAATTGTGTAGAGGGCGCCGCACCAGATTTATATCATTACTGTGCTACGGGGAAGACTCAGAAATGGAGTAGGCCTCTGTAAAGTCAATTTATCCTACCCACCCAACCGTTTGTGACTGTGGAACTAAGCCTCAAATCATGGAACACATCAATTGTAAAAAAGCATTAAATAAACCTGCACCATGGTAAAACTTTTCTGTTCTAGGGCGAAGAAATGTGGTCAGCCACCTGAGACGAGGACTCAATAAGAAGTGCTGGAATTTTTATTTTATCCACTCAGTATAATACTTCATTCTCAGATAACAAAAGAGCGGCTCTTCCAGTCTTTCCAAGAATCGGGAAGTATCGTCAGTACTTGTCCGAGCTGGTTCTATACCTAGCTGTTAATGTACGTTTAATTTTAGATTTTGCTTATTAAGTTTCTGTCTCTACCAAGATTCATCCATTATTTTCCATAGCATTGTCGTTTCTCAGTATTTTGCTCTTATTTGTATTATATATATATATATATATATATATATTAT